AAGGTCAGACGATTTCAAGGTTTATTGCCGAACTCAAGATCTGACAGATCCCAGAATAGGAACTCCAATCAAAATAACAATGCTTGCCATTGCTATTATGTTTGGTTAATCAACATTGAATTACTACTGCTTTGTCAGCACCGAAAGCAAACAAGAACTATTTTCCAACTAATCCAAGACCCTGAAATTAATGAGTTGCTGGCTACCTGGCGATGGTGGAGGGGTGGGCATGGTTTATTTGGGAAAGCATGGGGCAAGAGATAGCAGTGGCTGTTGGATATTGTTGGAGAGTCAACATTTAAATATTAACCTTACATAATTATGTGTGCCCAGGGGACCTTCATTTAACCATTGCAAGCCAGCCAAAGTTATGTTCGCATAATACAACTGCCGTTCAAAACAGTCCCTGGCGAGACCGTGCAATTTTTTTAAATTTACTTATTTATTATTTTGTTTACATACTTGATCCCATGGATAACTGTACGTAAAATATATGAATGAATTTGTGACAAATGCTCATTACATGCTGTCATACTCACCGTCGATTTGTTTCTTGCAGATAAATTGGTATCGATTTGAGCACCAAACGTCATTCCAGTTGCCTCCAGCTCCATAGAATTCTGGGTCCATGTAGACACAGTCCTCACCACCAGAGTCATATGGCAGTCCCGGACCCCAATTGGTGTAGTCGGTCTAACAAACAGAAGGATTAAAACGGGTAGTCAAGTGGCCGGAGAGATCCAAAATTGGTCACTGCATAAAGGCCTTGATTTCCAGATTTACCCCAGGCCAGTATTGTAGGACTCTGGGGAATTCTTGGAAATTCAAGGTGAGCTTCGACAACTGGGACAGTGCAAGCAACTATGTAGAAACTCGTTGCACATACTTTTTACACTGTCCAAAACGCAGGTCATTTCAGACACGGTTAAAATGTTCAGACACACGGTAGAATGCTTGGTGTTTGTAGGAGTTTGTATCAATGGGGTTGGGTCTTACTGCATCGGTACGGACCATTTCGTCCTCGAAATTTGAATTTCCTATTTTTATTATCAGTTTGACCACAGTCAACCCAAACTCCTGCAAACCGTAGTGACCGTTGTACAAATATACTAAACGAACTCTAATTGCCACTCTTTTTGTCCATTTCAGAGGATGTCAACCTCTTGCCTGTGTGATGTCTTTGTACTGATAAAAAAGAATGTCAGGATCGCAACAAGTCGGATGGCACTTCCACACCTCCGTATTAACCCTTAAAGAGCTGGGTTATTTTGGTCTCACAGCCGGTTGGGTGGCGGATCCTCTCCGTCGGCCATGCCACATTCGATTTTGAAACTTGGCATGCATGTAAAGACATTCATGATCAGAACTATGACGTTGGACTCCATCCAAAATAAGGTTTTGTTGTTCCGGTTATTGGAATTTCAAGACTATACTGGCGTGCCAGCCCGTGCGTGTGCGTTGAGCACCGCATTTTTGACTGACCCGTCTCAGAAAAACACACGTTTTGCAAGAACGGTATCTTCGATTTTCACAAAATCGGTGACAAAATGAACACACAGAATTAACTCTAAATTCCAAAAGGCTCAGCTCCTGAAAAAAAATGCACTGTAGCGATATTGGAAAAAATATCGAGAGCAGAGGGCGGAGTCCGCCCCAGGCTCTTATAGGGTTAAATTACGCTGCAAAATGCCTTGACCAATTTCAGTCGAAGTTGGCCATATTGACATCCGATGAATGCAAAACTTAGTTCCTAGACCAAGACCTAGATTAAGACAGTTTACATATTTAGACCCCAAAGGTTATATACCTAGTGGTCATTTGGTGAAAATAATGAAGCTGCTCTTCTTCCGCGTTCTTTGGCCTATTTTACCTGTATTCGATCAAATGCTTTCCATACAGGGGCAAAGTCCTTTTATGTCAAAGGTCACTCATTAGTAACTAGTGGTCATCGCTGGAAATTGCCAAAATGGCTTTATTTCAATGCTATGACGATTTCATCCCTACAGTGGTGGCTCGTCCTCATGAGTGGTCTCTGTTTATAACTTCTCAGGTTACAAGTTGTATCTGCGGTAAGATCCCTGGGTGGTGTTTCAGATTTTATGGCTACTGACAAGCGCCCCTGAACAGTCAAAGACATCGATAAATGGGAAGAGCCACCGAGCTCAGTTGGTAGAGCACCAGTCCAGCGTTCCAGAGGTCGCAAGGTTCAAATCTCGCTCAAATCAACTTCTTTTGTTCATCTTTATAATTAATATGCTAGCATCTAGTCAGATTCCCCGTATGGTTTATTCAATAATCTAATGATTTCAGCCAAACTTTGTCAGTTACAGTCCTCCTTAGACAATGCAGATTCGTAGCTTAGGTCCAAGTGGTAAGAATAGAGGGATCCCAATCTGCGCACTTCCGCGTTTGAAAACGAGGCTGTATGTGTCAGCTTCAATTCTTAGTACGATCAGACGATTGAAAGTAAGGAGTTAAGACACAAAATACGTAAAGGTGGGCCTATGTTAAATTCAGACATTTCAGGCTGCAAATTTTCGTGGAAGAGTTTTTCAGGATGACTCGACACATAAAATCAAAAGAAAAAATAACGACAATTGACCGCAAACAATTAAACGTACCTGCGATGGTCGTGTATCTTGTGCAGTGGGCGTGGTTTAAACTGAAGTGGTGTCATATTTACGAACCAGATACTCCATGTACTGTGCGGGCGCGCGCGACGAAGTTTAACACAGAGAGCCTCGGTTTCGATGCAGATATGCGCAAACGGCGCTAATGCAAAATCTCTCTATAGTTTTGTGGAAAATGGACTAAAATAGTTTTAATAGCTAACTCTTTCCTACGATTTTATCCAAACAATGTCAGGTATGGGCCTGTTGCGTGCGTCATATGAATGCTTGCGGACTACGGGCAAAGCTCACCTTGTGATCAGTGTGGCCATTTTCTTACAAAATGTATGAGATGCTTTTTTTTAATCAAATTAATCTACACGTAGTCAGTTGCAGCGCTCCTTAGAACCTGTTATGGGTGTGTGTAAAGTAAAGGCTAAAGTGAGTCAGTATTCGGCAGCAGCCATTTCTCCACAAACATCCCAATCGAAGCATTTCTCAAATGTTGTAAACTAGCTGAGGGACCATTCGTTCACTTACGTGAGTGTGGATTGTCGAATATGTACTACTTGTGTGTCATTGTAAGCCAATGTTATATATGTCTTTTAATTGACCTGGACTTGACTTGTAGGACTGAACAAATTGTGATTACGGTTCAGCAGTGAGAGCAGGAAGGGGGGGCGAGCTACCAGAGAGAGAAACCGAGAGGGGGCGCCCTAGTGTAAATATGTGGGCTAATACCCCTCTCTTTATGCATGCATGCGGTTTACTAATGAATGTCACACTGAAACGAATGACGTTGAAATAAATATACATGTATATTGATAACGAGATCGCCAAAGAAAGGCTTTTCAACCTTCAAATCAATTTTGAAGGATAAACATAACGAGAAATCACCTCTGTTTCGTCGGTCCAGACGAAATTACCTTCAGAAGCGCGGTCATTGTATCCCAACCAGTATTTATGACCAGGACGTCGATTTGCTACGGAAAAAAACGAGACGAGAAATTCTTCAACATTTCTATGGCGCATTGACACTTCGTATGTGCTGCCTCATTTGTATTGACACGTACACCTGGTGTACCTGTACCTAAGCATTACTGTGAACCGCGCAGGCGTATTGCTCGCTCAAATGGCGCCCATGGTAATTACACCTTTTGGGCAGAGTTATCCATCTTGCGCCTTTGGCGCTTTACGATCTTTGATGACTGCCCCCAGCCTTATACAAAAAACGCATGCGCAACGGTTCAGTTACGCCCGTGTTATTATAATTACCCTTACCCTCCCAGGGAAAAAAATCACGCTGCCTGGTTGCACGGAGCTGACCTTCTACGAACAATCATGTCCTTTTGGTCATGCGTGGTAAGGTAACAAACTTTCAGTTTATAGGCCACCATTTAAAAGCCATCCGCTCTACTTACTATACAAGAACACTTGTTCCTGGTAACTGTGAACGCTGACCAAGTCGGCTTCTTTGTCCTTGCATGACGCTCTTGCGTCCACGAAAGTGTTCATGTCCGTTGAGAAAAGGTAGCAGTGGTCTTTAAAGTGAAGCCATCCCTTCTTGCAGGCTATTTTGTGAAACGACAACAACGAAACACTTCTTGATCGTTCGTAAACAACGTTTGCATAAACTTTCATGTGCACACACAAGCTGTCGGTTTTTTTATTACATTCTGTCCATATACCAGTTACTATGCCAACTACTGATTTAAAAAAATCTAACAAATAGGCCTACTTTATCCATCAACGACAAATTTCATGTTCTTTAAATGTAATCATAAGGCACAGGTTTATCTACAGTTCGGTGATCAGAGAAGTCCTAGTAATTACTTATTTGTTAATGTAGTGCGGTTGTAGTTGAATGCTCCTCTCTGTCCATGCACAAATTCAGTGGTATTTCAATCTTGGGATGGCTTAATCTACGAAAGGTTGGCTCTTAATGAAAGGTTTCGCGTAGTATAATCCTTGAATGGCGTCACGACTTGTCGCTCAATTAGCTCATGCCAACAGTGGTGCCTGGAATGTAGCTTTCCATTTCCCGTATGCAGTGTCCGTGAGCAACCCCCCCGCCCTAAGCAGCGTTACCAACGTTTACGCCTCCTTTCGAGTTAGCTGAGACTTCTTTTAAGGTAGTGTTTACGAAATAATTGTTACTTTTGTCGGGCCAATAAGTATGGGATGAGTGCACATTCGAACCCAGACGCAAGAACTTTACAACTCTATCCATAGCGAGGCTAAAGCTAGCTATAAATTTGTTCATGCGGTGCGTAAGAAAACTCTCCACAATAAGTGTCGTAAGGTGACACATATTTCATTTATATAGAACTGCTGACTAGTCTCCTTTATTTGTGTAATATTATTTTCGAACAATAATCGAAATGGTCTCACCATCGGACGAAACGCCTCCGTGTACCGTGCCAAGGATGACCGTGAGCAGAATACCTAGAGGAAAGGACAATTTAGGACGTCAGCAAGGCATTACAAGTATGTTCATTTCTTGTCGCAACCAAAGCCCGGTTGATGGACGCGCGTAAGGTGAGCTACATGGCTTTGGTCGTCGTCGTTACATTTACGCCCCATGTATATTACTAGGGTAAAAGGTGAACTTAATTCAATACACAAAAATGGTTTGGAAGCATTCGAAGAATCACACATCCAAGTTTAAGGGCATTTAGACGGAAAGTACATGTTAAATATTTTTCGAGTATTGGCCGATCATTTTTATATAAAAATGGGAAGAAACAAGATCTCCTGCCGAATATCATGTTGCATCGCGTAATTGCTCGGTAGGTTATATCCCCAAAGTGGGCCAAAAGTTACTATCTTGACCTCACTTCGTATAAACTATGTCAAAAGCTTACATAAAAACAGACAAGCAGGAACCAGCACACTGTGTGAAAATCAAGTTTGTAACGCAGAGAAATTTCAATTAATACCAAGGTGCTTTTAAAAAACGTAGCCTGACAGACATGTTGCCATGCCAAAGACTTTTATTAGTGTCATTCAGACATTTATTTTTCTTTGCCAATGCTCATTCATAGGTAAAAAAGTAATTAATGTCCTTTCGATATTAATTTTTCTGTCACCAATTGTCACTTTTGTAATTGTAATTTCGGGACTTACAACTACTGCTACTCAGTTTGAAGTCACTAATCTACTCGTCGAAGTTCGTAATTGAATTATGCTTAACTTACCGAGGAGCAGAGCCCTGAAGGGCAGGCGAAGAGCCTGGATGCTAGAGCCTTCCATGATGAAACTTGCCAACAATGGAGTGTAACGTCTTGCTCCTGAGCCATCCTGCTATTTAATAGATTTCTGAGCCATTTATCGCCATCGCAATCAGACACAATGTGTGATTAATATCGTAATTTCAGAGGATTTGCATTGAAGTGTGATAAGCATTGCCAAAAAGTTAACGAAAGGTCTCGTTATCTGACAGAATATGACATGATAACAATCTCTGTTTTGAAGAGGCCGAGTGCCACTGCCGGCACAGAGCAGGTGAATAAATAAAAAGTTTTTATTTCAAAAGAACTGTGAAACGTGGCCTCCAGTGGCATGTCAAGGCTTTGGCTCGGGTTGGAGATTTTGAAATGGGTATTTTTATCGAGGAAAAGAAATGTCATTGTTATTTTGAACATACGAGGTTGGATTTCAGAGCTAGTTTACGGTGTGAAGTTTATGTAACTTGACTGAGAGCAGGTGCGGATTCGGGGGGGGGTTGGGGGCGCACGTCCCCCTTTTGACCCCCCCCAAAATAAAATCAACACGAAAAAGAGACAGGGGACAGGGAAAAAAGGGTTGTTTTGCCTGAAATTGTACCACAGAGCGCCTAGAATCCTGGATCATGCCCCCCCTTTTTTTAAAAATCCTGGATCTGCCCCTGGATAGCTACATTTAAATAAGGGCTTGCACTCGCTATAGGTTGCGCTTGCAACTATAGGGCATAGTTGGCAAGATTTAATTTGGTTGCCTCAAAGGGCCTTCTGAATATTTCCGTCCTCTAAACTTATTAGACAGCTTGTAATCAGTTTGCTTGCTGACACGTCAGCTCGCCCACACAGTACAGAGCTCACTTATCGGTTAACCTCCCTTCATGAACTCACAAGTTAACTATATAACTCGAGTGCTCAACGCTTTCTAAAATGTCAATCATACCACTAAAGTCGATAGCAAGTTGTCAAAAACGCTTGATATGTTTATGATATATGTTTGATGTTGCATTTCTTATTTATTTCATTTCATTGACATATTATGTCCAAAGGAGTATTTAAAAATGAATTCTTGAAATATGTTACACGTTTCCCCCAATTTTTGTCCCTTCTGTCATCCTATCCGAAGGATAATTTCAAATCCAGGGTCATCAGCAAATCTTCATTAATAAAACATGCATCTTTTTCAAAAAGAAGCTTTGATTGAGCGTTGAGCTGCTCAAGTAAACAAAAGATGTTTTTTATACGTTCACTCCTCTGTTTTTGTGTCTTTTTTAAATTTTACCCAACAATTTTTCCTTGACCACCTGGATGTAACGGGATAATTCGACAGTGAAAACATCTACAGTGAGCAATCCGCCTTCACTGGAAACAGCCCCCATCAGTTGAAAAGAGGCAAATTGGTGGGGAGGGTTCATTTTGTTTGTAGTGACGCAACCTTAACTATTGTAGCGCCGGCGGGTTCGGCCGGTGGGGGCGCCAGCTCAGACCCGCATGGAGCTAGCTGGCTGCCCCCGCTGGTATGCGAACGGCCTGCGGCTTTCCCGCTTCGCGCCTGCGCAGTCCCCGTCTAGACACCTTGTGTCTGGAGCTTTGTGCGTCAGACAGCCCTTTCGCTGACCGACCGAGTAGTTCTTGTCAGCGTCAGAGCCCATAGACAGGACACGCTCACTATTATATTTCATTGTCGTTTATAAGCCAACGGCGTTTTCACGAAGTGGCAAATTTGTCCATTTTGTTTTACCAATTTCAGTTTTTGTTTGATATTCTGACTGTATTTGATTTACTACTGAACATTCCTGCAAAAGTTTTAAAACTTAAGAACGTGTAATTTTGCTAATTTAGTTAATTAAAAATCGGCGAATTAGCCCTAATTTGCCTGAAAACGCAAAATCCAGAGGTCAACTTATTCGCCGGGCGCGCGTAGATTCGTCACTTTGTGAAAACGCAAAATACTTCGCCACGTGAACTTGCATAGACTGGCAGTTCAACTCCGCTCTGCCTTCCTTTCAAGGGCAGTGTCGACATTTTTGTGGGATTTGTTTGATTTAGACTGTCCTTTTTAGAAAAAAAGTTCTTGGAAATCAAATAATGGTACCTGGATAATTTATTGCCTTGTATTTTGGTCGGAGCAGGGGCATGCTTTGCAACATTTAATTATTCTAAGCTATTCTCCTCTTCGAGGTTTCTTTTTAGAAAATGTGGTATTGGTACTGGTTGATTGGTTATATTTTTTCACTTCAGACTAACTCCATGAAGATCCAAGGGGACAGTTTGGCCCTGTATATTCAATCCACGACTTTAAAGATCTCCCCCAAGCCATCATGTTAAAATTGACAATGGAGAAAACCGTAAAGCTAGGCCACATTAAAGTAGTCTATGTAGGTTGGATAGGAAAACAAATCAAACGGCAACAGCTTGTACAAGCATGATTCATTTTTAGGCCCGCCAAAAGTCTTGGGTTACTGGTCAGGAGCTGGCTTCAAAATTAGTGCGGCGACGCAGCTTCCCCCATTGTTCTGGAAATGATGTACGTATAACGTGTGATGTCCATTGCGACAGCCTGCGCACTTAACGCCGACTGCTACCACACTAAAATAGACTAGCCCCCGCATTTTCTTTTTACTGTTTATAAGCATTTTCAGCTTTTACATGTACACAGGACATAAGACCACTTCGTGTGTCTGGTTCCCAAATGTAAATGTGTAATACAGAAATGACGTCATCTGTAAAAGAGTGCCCGACTAAATGTATAGGGAACTAGAGGGACTCCTTTACTGTACATATTACTCAACCGTACCCCATACCAACATGTTAAGATTACTCAGTAGCAGGATTCTGGTTTATTAAGCAAGTTTGGCAGCTTTTGGACATCCTTTTATACCAAATAATTTTTTGTTTTTTAATTTGCCGACGCACAGGTCTACGGCGACGCGTACACTGACCAGAAACCGGAGACTTTTTTGCCTTAGGTATTCATTGCATATTAACACATGTATATCATAACTCCAATCATGTCATATTTCCATTTTCTTTTACAGTGGTACAAATTGTAATGTCAAAAGTCACTTTAAAATGTAACCAATTCGTTGAAGTGTCTCTTTAGTATTAAGTATTTTCCACTCTCTGCTCCTAGCCCTAGCTCTTCCTTGTTAACGTGCAAAGAAGGAACTGACACCACATCTGAGAGTCATTTCAGCTTTGTTCTTAGTTACCCTAGGCTAGGTTTGCCCTATTGAAGATGCAACTCTCTGTGACCCCTGGGAGCTTTGTGACCTTTATGATAAAAACAAACCGCTAAATTACCACAGGTCAACGGTCTTTTCACCTCGCTGTGACCTAGAGTTGCGAAAAACGGTAGACCTACTACATGAATCGTGCGAATGTCTGTCCAACTTGGAAAACCCATCCCTATAGTTCATGATATTTGAAAAGTGTACAGGTAAATTGCCGGATGCCATGAACCACGCACACAAGCTTGGTTCTCAGCGCTAGGTGCAAGCCCAGGCTAGAATTCCATATAGGCCCTAGGCATTTATGGATGATATAGGTAATAGTTTTGTGACGGAGTGTGGATAGATATAGAGCCAGTCTAATTTTATTAATGAACCGTAGTAACCGTAGTGCATGTACCCGATTGGTTGGTTAGTGGCTTGGTGACGTGTACTGGCTGGGCGGAGCGTAGCGCGCTGTGCGTCAGAGCGCCGGGGCGCGTGGGAGAGTTGCATGCTGGACTTCTAGGAAAGAAGTTAGTAAGTTGGGCGCGGAGCGAAGAAATTGTCAGCGCTGTGTGCGTGGTACTTATGCATAGCAAGTACAGAACTATATAGACTATATGGGTGTGTTCGATTAGCTTACAAATGTAAATCAAACCACAAGAGAGCGTTTGTTTAGCCATCACGTGATCTTCGTGCCTGCCCTGGTGTCAGCCACCACTACCCAACTGTACTGACGTCACGGATGGACTGTTCCAGTATGTACATGATGGAACGTGGCGGGGACTTGACCTTTCTCCCAGAATGCCTTGGCGAGTAAACTGCAGCGTTCGATAAGCCTCATTTCGAGGCTTCACTTGCGTGTAACACTGGTGTATTCAGGGACGCTAATCGAACGCACCCAATGTGGCTGACTGGCATGTGTAGCTGATGTGTTGCAAGCACAAAGCTCTATGGGCTGTACGTTGCTGACGCTGGCTTGCCTGTAGGGTGTAGCTCTTACCAAGTTGTACAAGTTGTTAATTGCTAACGCAGTGTGCATCGTTTACACATTGTATTATTTACGCAGTGTGACTTTTCTGATGCGCGTGATACATAGTAAATGCATTTGCATGTTGCTACTGCGACCCTGGGTTAGTTTAGCGCTTACTCCAATTGAAGTAAAAGACAAAACAACATTGTACATTGCATTTGTTGATTATTGTTGAATAAATTGCATTTCCTGTACCGACAATTTTCTTGTCAAGGATTACTTTATTTACAGGTTCATTGTATTATTTTAACCATGTTTTAGTAGAGACTAATTAACACTCATTCACGATTGGCGGTATATTTCCTGCAAACCGGACCCGCACCCTCAGCCTTGAGGTGTTCTCTGTGGTCTCTCGTCTAGGAAAACCGTAGGTTTTTGAAGATCGACTCTGCCACTAACAGTGCTAGATTTGATCCCATCAACTTAGGGTAAGCCCGGGGATGCCCACATCAGTATAAACAAAAAATCTCTCAATACCATTAATGAGACACAAAGGGCTCACATTATACTAGCTTGGATTCCCCAGCTCCGAGGTTCATGGCATGCCATTATTTTCGGTTGCAGTGCAGTTTGAATAGCATGCATGATGCCTGTGTACGGATTACTCCGATAGTCGATACATGATCCGCAGGTCATCTGGCTGCAGTGGCAGCAAGTGAAGATCTAATTGGGGTTTAGTGCTGCAGTAAACTGCATTGTGAATCAGTAACGAACACGTACAAACAGACTTTATCACGCTCCAAAACCATTTGCATTCAATGATAAGCGCTTCCTGTTGTATTTAGTTCT